CACAAGACCCCGGGATACTGCAACCGTCATAAGTACATGCCAGTTGCCAAGCGTCTGAATTTGGATCACATGACTGTGGGGATGCAGCAACATGTGTGACAAACGTTTATGAGTCACTTTTTTCAATGCTGTTGTAACTTCAAGCAGTCACTAAATGACCTGTTGTAAATTGAGGACTACCTGTACTTATTTCAAGAGATGTTAAGATTTTTTTAAAAAAAGATGCTAAAGACTTTTAGAATTAAGAGTCAGAATGAGGCTTTGGCACAGAGGCTTTTTATGCCTTTGATGGCTGTTTTAAATATACAAGTAATGAAAAAACCTATGTGAATAAAGGTAGCCCTCAATTTACAACACTTGCTTAGTGCTCAAAGTTATGATGGATCCCCTTAATAAGTATTGATCCGCAACCACAACAGAAAAAGAAAGGAAGAGGAGGACAGGAAGGAAGAGGTAAAGAGAGGAGGGTGGAAGGGAGAGAAAGAGAAGGAGAGAGGTAGAGGAAGAGAAGAGTAGGGGAGAGGTAAGGGAAGAAGGAAGGGAAAGGAGAGGAGGAGGAAGAAAGTAGGGGACGGAGGGAGAAAAGAAAGGGAAAAGAGGGCAAAAAACAACCCAACGCCAAACCAGAAATTCAGGAACAGATTTCCAGTTTGTGCGTTGGGCCGTTTTTCTCCCTCTGGAGGCTTCAAGAGGCTTCCCTGAAGCCTCCGGAGGGCGAAAAACATCCCTACAGGCAACCCAGAAGTCATAAAATGGGCCATTTCCAGCCTGCAGAGGGTGCAGGAAGCCGTTTGCACCCTCCCCAGGCTCCTAGAAAGCCTCTGGAGCCTGGGGAGGGCGAAAAATGGGTCCACCGTGCCATTGTGTGCTAAAACTGTGGAAGGGGAGGGGTTCATGCGTGCATGCACAGGTTGGTGGCGCGCACATACACGGGGGGGGACAGGCGCGCATGATCCCCCCCTTCCTCCGCTTTTGGCACACAATGGCAAAAAGGCTAGCTGTCACTGACCTAGAGCATTAAAGTGTTCCTTTCTCAGCATTCATAGCTACATGGGATTTCTTGCATCAGCCCTTGATTCTCCGGAGCTTGTGAATTATAATTATAATGGTAAAGTCATCATAACATCTTGGGGGAGAACCTTGTACTAAAATTGGAAGATTTCATCATCTTCCTTTGAACTTCCAGCCTGGGAAAGACGATCTTATGAGAAGCACCAGGTCGTTTTGCAGCATCCACATCGTGTCAAATGTTAAGCGTTTTTTTTTTCCCCAGCAGTTTTTCCATCTTTGTAAGCAATGCTGGGATTGATTTTATTTTAAATGTTTAAAAAATGGAACAAGGAAAAATGGAAACTCCTTCACTGGAGCAGATTTTTCTCAGGCATTCCGGTGTATTCCAGTTTTTATAGAGGTTTGTGAGAGTATTTTTTTTTAAAGCCATTTTGTGTAAGCGTTGATCTTTCTGTGTTAGGTATAATTGAATTCATTCATATATCTAAATAGAATATGCTGCATAGGAGCTGGAACGAGATTTCACTTATCTAAGGGGAAATGATGATTAAATCAGATACTTAAGAGATTAACTTGTCATGGAGATATAGTGAAATGTACATGCCGTCAGTATTATACGGAGGTATCTTTAAATTAAAATATATAGATAAGCCTTTTGGGATAAAGCCTTTAACTATCATTGACTACGATTAAATATATATGCAATCAAATTGCCTTTTGCTGGTGGTAGTTGCTTAGAAGCACGCATTCTCTTGATGTTTCCATAGTAGAGCCTTTGCACTACACTTCCCATCACCAATGTCTGCCAATGGGGAAGGCAGAAATTGTAGTTGAAGCTATCAATCTATTTTCTGTCTGTCTATCTATCTATCTATCATGCAGTATCACAGGCTGACTCTTCCCACGGCCAGGAGTTCGATCCTGACCAGGTCAAGGTTGACTCAGCCTTATATCCTTCAGAGGTCGGTAAAATGAGAACCCAGATTGTTGGGGGCAATAAGCTGACATTTGTAAGCTACTCAGAAAGTGCTGTAAAACATTGTGAAGTAGTAGTAAGTGGTATTTCTAAGTGCTATTGCTAGTCTATCGAGATCGAATTATATCTATCATCTATCTATCCATCCATCCATCCATCTATCTATCTGTAATATCTACCTACCTAGTGTACGGCAAGAGAGCTCTCTCTCCTCTCCTCTCTTTCTCCTCTCTCTCCCCCTCTCCTCCCTCCCTCCCTCATCCATCCATCAGTTAAATTTATTTTCTGCTGCCCTTTATAATCTGAGGTTGCAATGAGAGGAACAAAATGCAGGTCACGGAATAAAATTCTTGGAAGCCGTCTGAAACATGCGTTTTAATTTTTTGCCATTTCGTTTTAGAGCCAGCGGTCAAAACAAAGCACAGTCCTTGCTCCTGTCATCGACCTGAAACGGGGCAGTGCTTCGGATGAGCGCCAGATAGCGGACACCCCACCCCACGTGGCGGCTGGTTTGAAGGTGAGATGGGGCTTATAAAATAGGCCACACCGTATCCTGACCAAGAGGCTGTCAGCCCTTTGAGGGCAGCCTTCCTTTGGAGCAAAATGTCTCCCTTCGGGACCAGCTATGGCAGTCTTTCTCAATCTTGGTAACTTCAAGGTGTGTGGACTTCAACATCCAGAATTCCACAGCCAGCCCTGCTGTGGAATTCTGGGAGTTGAAGTCTACACACGTCAGTTGTGAGTTCGCACATTCTGGGATTCTCCTCCGCCTGTAGCCAGGAGTTCGATCCTGACAGTCTCCAAGTTGACTCAGCCAGCCATCCAGTGGTGGGATTCAAAATTTTTTACTACCGGTTCTGTGGGCGTGGCTTGGTGGGCGTGGCAGGGGTAGGATACTGTAAAATCTCCATTCCCTCCCCACTCTTAAGGGAAGGTTACTGCAAAATCCCCATTTCCTCCTGATCAGCTGGGACTCGGGAGGCAGAGAATAGATGGGGGCGTGGCCAGCCAGAGGTGGTATTTACCAGTTCTCCAAACTGCTCATAATTTCCCCTACTGCCTTTTATCTGACAAACTGTTAGGTTCCGAAAGGTTAATGAAAACAGCCAAACACAGAAACGATTTGTAAATGCAGTTTGTGTTCTTCCTCCGGCACGAACTGACCGGTACTTTCCACCACCTTTTATAAGTTACTTGCGTGGGCAATTAATCATGGATTGTTTTCAGTCAGTTATCAATATCTTCATAGATTACTCAGCTAGACAGCTTGTGGAGGAGGGAAACCTGGTGATTCTTCGCAGCTGGCCTGGTTTTCTCCCCTGAATGGCAGCTCCAGGCCCTGGGATGTCCGGAGCGGACAGCTAGTTTTAATTACACAGTTCAGTCATTGGTGCACAGCTACCACGTTTCCCCAAAAAATAAGACAGGCCGATTGGGCTTATTATCCGGGGAGGTTTTATTTTCAGGGAAACAGGGTAGCTTATTAACAGTCTTTTGAGACTGTTGAACACAGTTTCCACCTTATTCTGGCAAATAAATGGAGCATCTCCTCTTTTTTTGGAAAGAATTGCATTGGATACTTTTTGTTGTTATGACTTTCCATGTTTCATTCCAGGACCCCGTCCCTAGTGGCTTTTCAGCGGGAGACGTATTGATCCCTTTAGCGGATGAGTACGATCCGATGTTCCCGAACGATTACGAGAAAGTCGTAAAACGCCAGCGAGAGGAACGGCAAAGGCAGCGCGAGCTGGAGAGGCAGAAAGAGATTGAGGAGAGGGAGAAGTGAGTCCTCAGCACCCCATGGTCATGTGATCAAAATTTAGACCCTTGGTCCTGTCAACATGTGTCGACAGCAGCCAGAATTGTATCTGCACAATATTGGAAAAATGAGGGAACTCCTATAGATGAAAGCAGAATTTTAAAAAAAATTAAGACTGTGCGGAAATGGATAGGTTAACATTCAAGATAAAGGATAAAGAGGATACAGAATATTTTTTAACATGGGAAGATAGTAGAGGTAGAAACTAGAAGTTGGAAGAATACTACTATATACAAGTAAATATTGTTGTTACTAATATTAATATTATGTATAGGTAAATTGACCCAGACAATACACTGTTTATTAAGCACTCATGAATTTTAAAGAAAAATCTGCAAATAAAATTTATTTTTTTAAAAAAATTGGACACTAGGCAACAACTGACTCACCTTTATGGCAGTGATCCCCTTTTGCGACTTTCTGACCAGCCAGCATATGTTCTCCCCTTACTAGAGAGGTTGCCAGGGAGGGCAGACAATTTTTATATAGGCTTTATCCTCCGGGACTCAAACCCGTCTACTACGCGTGCAGTGGCAAAATTCTGTGTTGCTGCAATGTCCACAAGAAAAAAATAGGTTACAGAATTGTAGCTGTCATCTTGTACCAATTATCTGGAGAAATCTCTTAACAATCTCGGGATCATTATATTTACTCAAATACTTTTCACCCATGTAAACCAGGGAGTGACCCAAACAATTTGAGAATTAAATTTTGTGCATAAAATGCGTTTTATGAATTGGAAGTGTACTTTAGCTGAGTTTTATGAATGGCCAGTGCAAACAGGTTATCGTTTTGCTCTTCCATCGGAATCTTTTGAAACACATTGGACCAAACAGTTTAAACGTAGATAGTGGAAATGAAAAGAATGACGAGCAGGAATTTAGCCAATGTTGGGATTTGCTCCATCCAGATTTCCTTTGGGGACAACTGTCATCTTATTTTCTGCTTCCCTTTCAAGGAGGCGCAAAGACAGACACGAGGCAAGTGGATTTTCCAGACGGCCTGATCCGGATTCGGATGAAGATGAAGATTATGAGAGGGAGAGGCGGAAACGAAGTGAGAAACTCTCTTCCTTACCAAACACATTTGATTTTGATTTGATTTTTGATTTGATTTGTCTTGTATGCCGCCCACTCCCGAAGGACTCCGGGCGGCTCACAATAGACAAGGGAA